TATCTACACTAAACAAAAAATAATTGTACCTAGAGGTGAAACAGAAAACCTTTCAAGCAGCAGTGAGAACTCTTCACTTCTTGCACAGCTGTGACAACGACTGAAATCCCTGAACTTCTGCGAGCCAATAAAGCCAGCTCCAAGCACAGAKAAACCATVCTGGAACACACASCCACCAGTAAATTTACTGTAATCAAAAATGTTAATCATAATGCTACTTACATTCTTATACTTAAGAATGTATAAGAATGTTATATTCTTATACTCATTCTTATACTTAAGAATAAGTAAATATTTTAATAACACTCAACAGCTAATTAGCCACCCCGATAGAATCTCACAATTATCCATTATAACAGCAAACACAAATAGTTTTGGATTTGCTTTTAGCCTTCAAAGGCGGGGTATACAGTCATCAACACTAGCTTCTGTGTATACAGAGATCAAACCCTCAAAATACAAATTAATCTAAAAAAAAAAAAGAGAAAAAACCATTTGAATCTTACATAAAATCAAAAAAATTCAAAGTACAAATAAATTTGATTACATAACCTAATGAATTCCAAATCTAAATTCTATCATGAGAAAATTAATTAGTGTATTAATTGTAGTTCTAACATTAATGTTAAGTATATAAATAATATGCCAAATTTACAAGATTTAAATTACCAAAATGTGCAAATATAGCGATAACAATTTTCTCTAAAAAACTAAAAAAAAGAATTACTTTGTTTATGTGACATTAAAACCTTATTCAAGGTTTTAAAAGCTAGATTGTTTCCAGCAATCATGGCCCCCATTCCCTGTCTCCCTGCACTGCCAGGGAGGAGATGGAGCTGGAAGGAGGAAGAGGTGGGCGGAAAGTGCCTTTAAGGGCCAGCTTTTATCTCTGATTATTCTACTCTGGGTTTGTTAGCAAGAAATTCAATTCACATCTCCAACTTAGAATCTTTTGCCTTTTGTGGTTTAATTTTCTCTCCTCTGTGTGGCCGTGAGGGGAGTGAGAGAGCGGCTTTGGTGAGTGCCSGGCATCGAASCAGAGTGACCCCATTTCACTGTGACCTGTCCCCGTGTGGCCCTGTGCTATGGTGCCACAGTCGCBTTTGTCTTCCTTATTATTTTCCCTTTTGTTCTAAATGTTTGTGAAGTGTCCTCGCTGTCCTTCCTGTTCCCTTGGCCCCGGCAGCCCCATCCCTTCCCTGCTCCCCWTCCCTCGTTCCATCCCGGCTGGAGGAGCCTTGGAGCTGCCGTGGGGGCCGTGGGGCTGCCCCGGGGGCTGCGCCCCGAGCCGGGGCCCCTTCCCAGTGCTCCCAGTCTGCCCGTGCACCCTGGAGCAGCCAGCGAGGCTTCAGCTGGGCCGGCACAGAG